AAGATTATCTTCTGTGTCTGTGTTAATTGGTTTCCCTTTTCTTTGTTGAAGAGGGTCTGTGCAATCCTTCTGCCTAGTCCGCCATCTTGCCCCGCCTCTAGTGGTGTAATTCTTTATAACAAGACTTCTTATGGTCTGTGTTGTCAAAAGACTCATGATACTTTATTGATTTCAGAATTTCAAAGAATGGCATGGGAAGTTTTGTTTGATTAAATGGGGACATGAGTTGGGAAACAATGAAAAACAAAATTCTGATAAATAATTTCTACCTTTGCTTTACCTGTATCCTTATGTTAGTTGTTTCTGAGGCATTGCATATTGTAAGAACCAAGAAATTAATTTTGAAAAGCAGTGAGATTTGCATATAATTGTTATCCTTGCACAGAAGATAGTCCTACACAAAACATTTTGATATGCTTTTTTACATCCTTTTTGAACTTAATTTAAATCAAGAATTAAAGTTGTCAATCGGTCATTTGGTTCAAAGAAAATGTGTTCCTAAATGCCACATTTGTAACCTTATGTGCCAGTTCTTAGGATGCAATCATTTGTTGAATAATAGCTTACTCTAGAAAGGAGTCACCCAACAATGAACGTATTACATCAGAATTGAATACAATTAGATTAAAGGGTGATTTTTCTCACTGTTACTGAAATCATCTTAATATAATACTTATTTTGAAAACAAATTTCCTCTAAATACATTTTCTTTCCTTAGTACAGCATTTCAGTGGTTATAAATACCAGTTATCATGAGATGATAAGCAAATAAAGGGTGTACAGCCCTAGAATTTGGGAAACATTTCAGACTATATTTCCCCTTGTGGTGATTCACAGTGTATATTAAGATGATAAACACACTAAGAAATCATAAAACAATGTTTCTCAAACTTTGTTTGGTCATAACTATTTTTTATGTATCACATTTTAACAGCACACTTTGGGAAATGTTTAGTCTACTCTTTATGCTTGGGAAACATACAAATATTATTTCTGTTTTAAAGCAGGACAGAAGGAGCAAGCTGTGGAATGGTATAAGAAAGGTATTGAAGAACTAGAAAAAGGAATAGCTGTCATAGTTAAAGGACAAGGTACGGTTGTATTCATATTTGTTTAACTATCCAAAATTATATTGACATGATTGCCCTGATTTCATATACATTTATTTTTTATTTTTTTTATATTTAATTTTTCCATTTATCTTAATAGAGTATTACTGGTTTGTAGACTTACAGTTAATGCTTTCTCACCTATTATAAAAATAAAGTTATAACCAAATGTGCTCAGACTTGATTCTCTGAAGCAATAAAACAATAGAAAGTACCTTACCTTTGTCTTTATTGGATCATCTATTGGTGGTCAGTCACATGTTTTAGCCCTGTCTTTGAAATCTGACCCTTTCCTCATTGTTGATATAGAGAAGGAGTGGATAATCGGCAAACTCCCCTATGCACTTACAGATAATGCTCGACTGTGTGTTAGAATATAAGATGTAAATGACTTACTTTTATTCACTTTTGGCTTTTTAAAACCAAGACAGTTATTTCTCATCTTTATTCTCCTATCATCTCAAATTAGAAATTACAGTCTGATGTTACCTTGAATTTTTTCTAACATTTATCACATACTTACTGTGAACTCAAGCATCATAAGTGCTTCATATGTATTATCATATTTAGTTTTTACCACAACCTCATTCATGTTCTGTAGAAGCCATTGTTATCTCTCTTTTTCACATAAAGAACCTAAAGTACAAAGAAGTTATATAACATGCTGTCGTCCCAAAGTTATGACAGGATTTGAACCTAGGCAGTCTTACTGAATTCTTAAATACTAAGTTGTGGTTACTATATACTAATACCACTTCAGTTTAGCATGTTGTTGTTGTTATGTACCTTCGAGTTGGACCCGACTCATAGCGACCCCTCCTTGGGTTTCTGAGGCAGTGTCACTACGGAAGTAGATTGCCCCATCTTCCTTCCGAGGAGTGGCTGGTGGGTTTGAATAGTGAAAATAAATTCAGAAGCAAAAATTATAGTATTTAGG